CGCAACATCTGCGTGAAGCTCATCCCATGGTTTGACCACCCGAACCGAGAAGGAGAACTTCCGCACATCCAGCCATGCCTGCTGAGTACGCAGTTTTAACGGGTGACCTCGGAGGTTGGTCGTGGTAGCAAATTCAAAAAAAGTCCTCGAATGCCAGACTGCAATCAAGCCCCGTATAATGCGGAAGGCTTGCAAGAGATCCCCGAGAAGTTGCCTGTAACTCAAAGGAAAGCGGTCTAGATTTACTAGGCGGGTTGCATAAGGGAAGGAGCTTTGACCCCTAACCATCTTCGTGGCTCTCCTCTGGACTCTTTCGAGGCAGTTTTGATCCGCAACAGCCCACGGCCTCCAAGCTTGTATGCCGTACTCTAAATGCGGCCGGACGAATGTTCCGGATGTCTTAGAGAAAGGTTCTTCGCCAACGTCCATAAACGCACGCTTGATGGCGTACAGTACGGACGTTGCGCTTTTTGCCACTCTCGAACAGTGGGCGGATGGCTTTAGGGAACTCGTCGTAAGCACACCGAGGTCCCTTTGGTATTCGACCTCTTGTAAGCCTGCACCGCCCAGAAAGTAGCCTCTTGTGCTGGCGGATCTAGCTGTGTTGCCTAGGCGAAGTATGCTACATTTGGCAACGTTGAACCGCAGGAGGCAACGGTTTGACCACTCCTCCAACCGATTCAGGTTCATCTGCAATCTGTCTTCGTCGGCAGGACCCCGAATTACACTCCGTATCTTCATGTCATCCGCAAACATTGCTACTTCACAGTCTAAATCTCTTGCGGCATCGTCCACGTATATAAGGAACAAAATGGGTCCCAGTACTGAAACCTGGGGGACACCACTATCGACCATAGCCGGATCTGATTTTCCCCAACCGATGCACACAACCTGCTGTCGACCCATAAGGAAGTTTTCGATCCATTTATGGAAGTTGCCACCGATCCCTAGTTTTTTTGAGCTTATGTAAGAGCCTTTGGTGTGGCACAGTGTCGAACGCCTTCTGGAAGTCAATGAAGGCTATGTGGACCATGTGGCTGTCCTCGAGAGCTCAGGTCCAGCTCTGGAGAGATTGCAGCAAGTTTGTCGTGCAGGATCTTCCTTTTCGGAACCCATGTTGGCAGTTCGATAGCAGGCCGTGAACTTCCAGGAATTGCATCAGTTCACTCTTTATGATCCTTTCCATAATTTTGCAGAGAATGCATGTCAAGCTTATGGACCTGTAATTTGTCGTCGCTGCCCTGTCACGTCCTTTGTGTAGCGGAGTAATATGCGCCAGCTTTCACTCGACAGGAAGTGTTCCAGTGTCAAATGACGTTTGAAAGAGCATCGGCAAAGGCACAGAAAGCTCACTGGCAAGTTCCTTCAGAAGCTTGGATGGAATCTCGTCTGTTCCTGGCGACTTCGATTCGTTCAATGCCTCTAATTCTCTTCGGACAATGCATTCTGAGAAGAGTATATCACTGACGCTTGGAGTCGGCAGTTCTTCTGTGGATGGAGGAAGGAACCTTGCCTCGTTTGTGTAGACTGATTGGAAAAACCGTGATAAATACGCAGCTGTTTCCCTACTATCAGCGATCTCAACGCCATCAGAAGTCTTTATCAAGGGGATTTGATGTCTGTTCCATGTACTTCGTCAGAGGTAGCTGTAGAGCAATTTTGGGTTCTGCGTTGCTTTTTGTAGCAAGTTCTTCTCGAATTCCCGCCGCGTCTGCATTATCAGCTTCCTCAGTTTGTTCCTCTGTGTCTTGTAGGTGTTGAAGCAATCAGCTTCTCTAGTGACGCAGTATTTTCTCCACAATTTGTGCTTCCTGTTGATTTCTTTTTTGAGGTTGCTATTTAGCCACCCAGGGCGTTTGTTCAGTCTTACACCAGTCAGTGGGCAGTGGCTGTTGATGAGCTGCAGAAGGACATTCTTGTACAGCTCCCAGTCATCGTTGGCACTTCCCGTAAACAATGAGCCCCAGTCAAGACCGGATAAGTCTGCCCTCATCTGATTAAAGTCGCCCCGCCAAACATTACGTCTTTTGTGGTCTGGAGTATGTGAAATGGAGAATAACGAATAATCCCACAAAAGCACTACCTGGTCACTTCGGCCAAGGGGCGGCATGGAGGTTATCTCGTCTACGCTGTCTGGTGTTTTCGTAAAGACCAGATCCAGGCAGTTTGCCCTTTGTCCTTCACGTGTTCTCGTTGGGAACATTACATGTTGTGTGAGGCACGCATTTAATGTTTTGCTCAACAGGCGGTAATCGAATGACGATTTTGGACCTGACGCTTGGAGGGTATTCCAGTTTGTTCCTGGTGCGTTGAAGTCGCCCATGATCATGATGTTAGGTCGACTGGCAAATTTCTCCAACTGCTCCAAAAGTTGAGTGTCGGCGATTCGGTCTGTCTTAGGTGGTCGATAGGCAGTGAGGACATCGAGACACGGGGAACCGGTAGCCTTGATGGTCAACCAGATAGCTTCCGTACTGCACGCAAACTTGGTGGTGTTATCCGACACTGGCAGACCTTCATTCACATACACAACGATACCACCACCCTGACGATGATCCCTGTCCCGTCGATAAATTTGGTATCCAGGCAAGGCTTCTTCGTTATCGCTAATTTTCCCGGGCAGCCAGGTCTCAGTTGCTGCTAAAACATCTGGAGACAGCTCGGCAAGACAAAGTTTTAGTTCGTCTAGTTTCGATATGAGGCTTTGGGCATTCGTGTACGCGACGCGTTAATTAAAGCCTTATGCGGACGAATCTAATCGAGCGCGCAACCGAAAAAACGAAAACGTAAACAGACGAAAATGGCCTTGGTTAGGTAAAACAACTAAACGGCAAAATACAGCATGATTGAAAAGCAAAGGAATATGGCTATCAGAGGAAAAATTCGATAGTAAATTGCCTTTGAATAATGGCATTGTCAATTTACAACCGTTAATATCGACCGTTACTCATGCAATTCACCGCTAATATAGATAATGGCAATAAGAACATTCATAGCGCCATGTCTAACCGGATGACTTTTCTGGACGGACCATTGGAAGCCAAAAGCCATATAAAAACACAAATTTTGGGTGAAGTATGTGAGATTTTAAGAACGAACGACTGTTCACAAACCATACTAACCTTCTAACTAACTAACCAACTAATTAACTAACTAACTAACCAAACTAACAAAACTAACTGACTACCAACGTACAAACTGAACTACTTAGCTAACTAACAAAACAAACTAAACCAAACCAAACTCACTAAGTAACTAACTAGCTATGCTGACTAAATAACCGACGAATGACTGTTTACCAACCATACTAGCCTGCTAACTAACTAACCAACTAATTAACTAAGTAACTAACTAACTAACCAAACTAACTAACTAAACTAACTGACTAATAACAAACTAACTAAATTAATTAGCTAATTAACAAACTAAACTAAACTCACTAAATAACTAACTGCCCAAATAACAATGCTGATTAACTAGCTATACTGACTAACTAACCGACCAACTAACTGACAGTTAGACCATCGGTTTCGATGATGGGAGCAGGGACGGTGACTTACGCAGGGGTTTATAGTGCCGGTAGACTTGCGTAACATCTACCTACACTCTCTCCTCCTCCCTCGCCCGAGCCCGGTGACAAGACAGAGTCCAGAAGACCGGAGACGAAAGAGGCCGCAGGTGGATGGCTCGGACGGATCCTCACCTTGGCTTTCCACCACACTCCCTGGTCCACACAACAAATAACCAGGATCTCAACCAACACAACAGAGATTTGGAGGCTGGCACGGCCGAAGCCGCACCTGGGCGTACCGCCAAGACCTGGCTCGGATCCCACACTGTGGTGGGAGTGCCATAAAGGCCACATTAAAAAGGAGCCATTGCAGACTGACTCTCAGACCGCCTCCGGTCAAGGTGGAGGTACAAGTTACCCCGTCAGTTGGCAACCTTCCAAGCCACGGCTTTTAGCGCACCGTGATAGCTTCAAGCGCGTCAGATTGTTTATAGTGAGGAGAAAGTGCGCTGAGTCGTCGACCTCACTCTCCCTTCCCATCCCCACACCCCAGCCGCTGTCCGAGCCGGTCAGCAGACTGGAGTGGGGAATGGGCGCGGTGGCTGTCATGGTCGGCTGACCATGACTGCGCGCGCCACGGCACGACCTGGCCCCCATACACACAACACCAGGATTTCACACAACGGGGTTTGAACGGCGTGTCTCTCACTTGCGTGAGAGTGCCGTGGAAGGTGCTGTTTCAGCCCGTTCCCAGACCACCAGTCCGCCACTACACACAACACACACACCGCGACGAACTGCGTGAACCGAGAGCGGGCGTCAATCAGCAACCTTCCTATCCACGACGCTTGACGTGTCGGGATAGTCTCGGACTGAAGTCACCCAAGCAGCCGAAGCCGCATGGGGACTGAGTCGAGATGCGGACTTTCCACTTGCGTGGGAGGTGGCAGTTGGGTGCATGAGGTGTGTGAGTGTTTATTTCTGGTGGGGTGATGGTGGTGGTGGAGGAGGAGGTAGGGAGTGAGTGAATGTGTGGTGTGACCGGCGGTTGTCTACCGCAGGTCGTCGTGGATGCGCATGTGGCCGAATAGGCCCATAAAATAGCTGAAAGTGCGAGGGCAGTGTGGGCAGTTGAGACGAGCTTGGTGAATATAGGTGGGTGCTCCAGGCACTGGTTCGCCAGTCTCTGTGCGATGGTTTCGCAAGTGACCGACCAGGCCGATGCGTGAGGTGAATGTGCGTGGACAGTGTGGGCATGAGAAGTCGGCGGTGTCAGTGTCAGCTATAGAGGAGGCGGTGGTGGTGGTGGTGGTGGTGGCGCGGACGGATGGAACGAGGGTGGGAGTGTGCATGGTGGATGTGTTGGATGTGGTGGGTGTGTAGGGAGTGCGGTCAAGGCCGCTCTCGTGGATGCGCATGTGGCCGAAAAGACCCATGCGATGCCTGAAGGTGCGAGGGCAGTGTCGGCAGTGGAGGCGAGTGCGGTGGGTTAGGTTGGTGCTTCACGCACTGGTTCGCCAGTCTCTGTGCGGTGGATTCGTAAGTAACCGACCTGGCCTATGTGTGAGGTGAAGGTACGGTCGCAGTGAGGGCAGGTGTAGTCCTGATCATCATCGCTGGAGTCGGGAGAGGTGGTGGTAGTGTCGGTTGCTGTCCGCGGGACAGTCGCCTGAGCGGCCGCCGTTGGAGCACTGGGCGAGGAGGAGGAGGAGGAGGAGGAGGAGGAGGAGGAGGAGGAGAAGGATGAGAAGGAGGATGATGGAAGTGGTGGGTCAGAAGAATTGTCAGGGTTAGTTGGCGGCGGAGAGGAGGAGGAAGAGGCAGGCGGTGGGACGATGGTTGGTGCCGTTCGAGAGGCGCAGTTAATCGGAAGATGTCCAACAAGTTCGATTCGACCCCGGAATGTCCGTTGACATCGAGGACACGTTGGAAGCGGTTGTGCGGCAGCGTTGCTTACTTGGCGAAGTTGTGATTTGCGGGCTTCACGTTTCGCTTTGGCGGCAGCGATGCGGTTGGTTTCGTAGATCGTAGCGCCTGTCTTCACTGTCCACCTCCAGGTCGGTCGATCGAGTGCGAGCTCCTCCCAGTTGGTGGGGTTGATTTGCAGGCATTTCAGGGAGGACTTCAGGGTATCCATGTAACGGCGAATCCGATCTCCGTGACGGCGAGAACCCGTCGCGACGTCTCCGTAGAAGAGTCGTTTGGGTAGTCGCTTGTTGTCCATGCGCACCAGGTGGCCGCTTCAGCGCAGCTGAATTTGCCTCAGTATGGCGTAGATGCTGAGGATTCCCGTCCGTTCCAGCACATCAGTGTCGGGGATTCGATCCTGCCACTTCAGCCTCAGGATGCGACGAAGACAACTGAGGTGCAAGTGGTTCAGACGACGTGCCTGCTTTGCGTACACCGTCCAAGTCTCCGCTCCATACAGTAGTGTCGGCAGGATGACGGCCTTGTACATCTTCAGCTTCGTGCTCAGCGTCGTTGTCGTCGAACCAGTCCTGGTGTTGGCGGGGAGCGCGAACGAGGACGGCGAGCGCCGTCGACTGGACCGTGTCTCGCAGTTGACACCAGCGGTTCTCCACGGAGGCGTTCTCGCAGCGGCGGCGTCGGCAGCGATAGGACAGTTGTCTAGCCTTTGAGCTAGCTCATTGCTGAGATGAAGATGGTGAGCGGGTGAAGACAACAAGGCAACATTCAGCTTACCTGGGGGTCGCTTACCTTGTGGTCTCCTGCGAGGCTGTAAGCGAATACGCATCTTCGAGATGACGAGGCGATGGTCGGTCCACCCGTCAGCACCCGCGATCGCTTTCGTCACCAGCACGTCCCGCTGATCTCGCCTCCGGACGAGGACATAGTTTAGCAGTTGCCACTGACGCGACCGAGGATGCCTCCAGGTGGCCTTCTCTCGCTCCGGTAGACAGAAGAACGTGTTCGTCAGGATAATACGGTGCTCTGCGCAGGTGCGGAGAAGCAGCAGACCATTGTCGTTTGAGCTGCGGAGACCGTGGGGACCCAGCACTCCTCTCCAGGCAGTATGGTCTGTGCCGACGCGGGCGTTAAAATCACTAAGCACAATCAACTTGTCCGCCTTCGACACAGTCACCAAGAGGGCGTGCAGGTCCTCGTAGAATTTGTCTCTGACGGCGTCGGGGTTGGTCATCGTCGGAGCGTAGGCGCTGACGATGGTGGCGAATTTGCCTCTCCAGAGAGGCAGGCGGAGTCTCATCAGGCGATCGTTGATGCCCTACGGCAAACAGGGCAGTCATCCCACGATGTCGTTCCGAATGGCGAAGGCGACACCCGCGTCCCGTCGCTCTGCCATGGTTCGACCGCTCCAGAAGAAGGTGTAGCCGGCACCCACCTCCTCCAGTTGGCCTTGTTCGGAGAAACGGGTCTCGCTGAGTGCGGCGATGTCCACCTTGTAACACGCCAGTTCTCGTGCCACTAGCGCCGTCCTCCGTTCCGGTCGGTTGCTCCTCGGATTGTCTAAAAGGGAACGAACATTCCAGGCTGCCAGAGTGAGCGGGCTAACCCTGCCAGTCTGGTGACAACGAGTGAGGCGACGGGAAGGGGATGGAGAAGAATAGGCAGAAGAACAGGCAGAGGAAGAGGAAGAAGAGGTAGGATGAGGAGAATGAGTATGGTTGTTGTTGTTGTTATTGGTATTGTTGTTGTTTCGATTTTGACTGTTTCGACCATGATAAGACGTCTGCGGCCCTGGCAAGCCTGTAGACGGCGTGGTACCCAGCAATGTTTAGGCCACCTTTTCTAGGCCCTTCCCCTCGTGGGGCTGGCAGTGCCATCCCTAAATACGGCTGCCATGTGCCGTTGTGGTACGGCCGAACTCCACTATGGGACCACGACTTCGGGTTGTAGTGGAGAGCGACTCGAATTCGCCGTAAGCCGCGGTCTCCGACGGCGTTGGTGGGCGCGCCAAGGCGATGTCGATGTGGAGATCCGTCCCGTCACCGGCTGTCCAGCGGCGTGTAGAGACGAACCACGTCACGACGGTGCCGACGCAAGGTTCCATCCGACCTTCCATCCAGCGGAATCCGCAAACCCTGTGCACACGGCACAGCGCACAGGGCAACCTCACCTTATTTATCCCGCCGGTCGAGACGGTTGCCCGGGGTGTGACCGCTGAGCAGAGTCCAGCTACGTGGAGCCACAGGTGAGAGTTGAGTGCCAGCAAGTGGACGCTAGGCGTAGTCTCACCTGCAAGCAAGTGAGCAACCACCACGACCATTACGTGAACCCACCGCTGACACCCCTACACCCCGACCAACTAACTAGACTAACTGACAAACTGCCTAACTAAACTAACTGACTAACAATTAACTAGCTAAATAAACTAACTAATAAACTTACTAACCAAGGAAAATTTGAGCGAGTTGCGTGAGACTCAAAGTTAATAACCATATGCTAACTTCTCACTTAATCGACTCTCTCAATGACATACTCTGGGTCTCTTAGTGGCTGGAGGTATCATCAAAAATAATTTCGCAAAAGTAAGACTCTAGAAAGGTCCCAGAAGCCGCCGCAGCTCTCGAGAAAATGTTCGACCAATCACTCTTCAGCAATCTGAAGCACGTCCGCATATCACTTTTTTTGGTCACTGGCTTCGTGTACAAGCACCTCAATTTTGCACCGGCCGAATTTCCCGTTGCATTTGTTACTGCTGTGAGCATTCCACCGTTATCGCTGACGTCGTGTTCTCTCGACTCTTCCGTTACCTGATTGGTTCCATTTATATGCCTTGTTTCAGTCAGATCACTGGACGCTACGGGCTCACTTGTGTTGGCGCCTTGATCAGGTGGTTCAACGAAGGTGGCTGTTTTAGCTGAGTAGCTGTCGTCGTTCGTAGTATTACAGGCTGGTTCCTCTGAAACGGCATATATTTCCGAACTACCTTCCCCTTGAAGATAGCCAGATTGTGTTCGCCACCCTTCAGTCTTGATTTTAACTCCAAGACAAGTTTCGGCGTTTCAACAGTCCTGCTGATGAATAGTCCGGTTGAAAAAAACCTGTTTGTGTGTGTTTCTGAGATCGGTTTTTTTTAGAGAGGATAAACTTGATTTGCTCTTTGTTCTCCAGCATAATTTTGAGAGGGCGAGGTGGTAGTGCTGCTGTCCTGTCTTCACTCCTTTCTCCTATCCGGAATGCTTTCAGAAGCTTTATCTCCATGTCTGCCGGGAGTAACTGATTTTGCAGACAATGAAAGGAAGCAAGGTCCTCTGAGACACGGTCTTCAGGTTTGACTGCATTCGATTCTGACAAACCCTGAATAACCAGACACTGCTGGCGAGCATGGTCCTCCTTACTCTGTCTTTCCGGTGAATGCGCTGCATGTGGGCAAAGACGATTTACGGAGTCATCGCTTGGACGCACATTTTTACTGTCTACCGGCTGTCCCGAGCAAACCCTCAGGGCTGGCTATGACTTCAGAATCCTGTCATGAGGTTTCCCTTTCCTCTCTACCTACGGGTTTATGTCTTCACATTCAGATACGTGCTCTGTAGTGCGCTCGGGGTGGTTGCCAGAACAAGAGGGCAACAGTAGATTGGATGACCGAGGTATATCGTCTCCAGTCAGAAGAGAAATCCCGTCACTTACAGCAAGAGGCTTAGGTGAGATGGCTTCCGCGACAGGTAATTTTTTTGCGACATCGCTTAAGACATCTTGCGTGGGAATCGAGTCTGCCTTTATCGGCGGCTTCGTTTTCATTGTCCTGCTGTTACCGGTATCTGCGGTTTTGGCTGTTGAGTTGCAACTCGTGTTTGAAGATTCCCCCGAGGAGATATTTTTCGCGTTTTTTGCGTTTTGCTCTTCGTTTTTGGGATTCTAACACTCGACACGTTCTGGCAGCTTAGGGTCTGTTTCACGAGCGTCCTTAAATCAGCAAGCTCCTTTTCGAGTTGTTCTACTTTGATTTGGATATCTGCACACCCACCACAAGGCTCGTCTTCGTACCTCACAATTTTTGCGGTACTTACGCTTTTTGCACGCTTTGCTGGTCGTTGGCTGGAGGCGAAGGTAGAGCGAGCACAGGTTCTGGATGCGAAGGACAACTCGCCGGACTAATCTTCCAAAGAGTTACCGTCGCTGGCCGTACTACTACAGTTAGCTTGCTGAGAATCCATAAACGTCGACGTGATATAATAGGTATAATTTCGCTTTCGATGTTATAACGAATACGCCTGCTTATATATGATGAACTTAAGTGAGTATTCAAAACTTAATAAGCGAAAAAATACTGAAAATCCGATAAATTTTATTGAATTTAATCAGAAGCGATTTAGCCCTTTCCAGATCTCGTGGGACTTGAATAACTGCAAACCTTGAAGGATTTTGAGCGATTGGTTTTCTAGGCCGTATATCCGCGATTCGGTTGCGTAGCCAGTTGGGTTGTCAGTGAGACTGTGCTGATAAAGAAATTGCACTTAATCCAGGTTTCGTGTGAATTTCGATGCGCGAAAAAATATTCCAAAAATGAACAAAGCAATTCTGTACGTACGGTTCCAGTATCAATGTCAGAGACGGTAACTGTGGAATGGTAACCAAGTCGAAATTGTCATAGTTGGAGTGCAGAATAATTCCGTCGTGCTCATTTGGGCTCACCAGGTTGCACCAGGTTTGAATGAGATCGCCGCGCAGTTGCCTGTAATTTAGAGGAAACAGATTTAGTTCGATCAGCCTGGTTTCGTAAGGCAAATGATGAAAATTCTTGACCCCTTTCGTAGCCATCGCCTGCACTCTTTCCAGGGATTGATAATCTTTCTTCAACCACGGTCGCCAGGCCTGGACTACATACTCTAAGTGAGACCGGACGAATGCCCCATAGGTTTTCCCGAACAGCTGTTTATCGATCTGCACAAAACCTCGCCTCAGCGCAAACAACACCCTTATTGCACTTTTGGCTGCCCTTTGACACTGTGATGATGGTTTCAGCGAGGAGGTCATTAGGACGTCCAGGTCTTTCTCTTCCACAACATTTGAAAGGGGCTGACCACCAAGGACGTATTGAAAGGAATCGTCCTCCTTAATGGTCTTTTTGGTGCGGAGTCTCAGGACCACACATTTGTCCACATTAAAATTAAGGAGCCAACGAGCTGACCAACTGCTCAGGCGGTTGAGACTGTCTTGAAGCGCGTACCTGTCTGCGTCAGATCTGATGGGCCTCCACAGCTTAATATCGTCAGCAAACATGATGGCGCTGCATCCCAGGTCGTCGATGCAGTCGTTAATTTAAACCAGGAATAGCAACGGCCCAACACGGAGCCCTGGGGTACACCACGTAGAACGGGGATAGGAGTTGACCGTGAGGCCTCAATGCACACGGTTTGCGATCTCCCGGTAAGAAAATCTTTTATCCATGTCAGCAGCCTTCCTCTTATCCCAATTTCAGAAGGTTTGTAGATTAGGCGTTTGTGTGGGACGCTGCCGAACGCCTTCTTAAAGTCTGTGTAGATGACATCGACCCTACCATCCTCGTCCAGTGCGGGAGTCCACTGCTCCGTCGAGAGCAATAAACTGGAAAGGCACGAGCGGTTCTGTCTGAAGCCGTGCTGCAGGTCTGAGAGTAAATGGTCCTGTTCCAGAAACTTGATTGTTGCTTTCTTAACTATGGCCTCCATTACTTTCTGTCCTTTCTTCGGTTTAATGAACGCCTGCGACCGTAATATAATCGAAAACGGTCAGAATGTTTTCATCCGGAAACTGTCCTCTGAAGCTTCGTCCAGTATTTCTTATACTCAGAGATGTCAGTTGGCGAACATTAAGTTTTTGTGGGTAAGAAGACTCGAAGCTGGCCTTTGCTTCCTTTTTCGCATCAACTCTAGCTCCAGTCTTCCGCTCATTGACACTATCACTCCGAGAGATCAGTCTTATGCCACGCGCAACTCCTGCATGGTGATTCCGCCGCCTCTTTGTACTACATCTAAGCGCTCCCACTTCTTTGCTTCTAAATATGTCTTCCTTTGGAATAATCTTCCGCCTGAAATAAGATTATTGCCTAAGTTACTTGTATTCATGTCAAAATTACGCAAACATCTTACACCGGAAAGCATAAAGGCACTGTTAACGGTCTCATTCCCGAACACTCAGATTCTTGCTTTCGAGAAGGGTCCTCCTGGGATTTAGTGGTAGATTAAGTGGTAACTCTTAATTATATCATTAGAAACCCCTGTTTTGAATTGGTTTCTAAATCCACTGCTATCACTCCTCCCCCAAAGCGACAATTTTCGCGGTTTTTGATGTCATCTCTCGCATTCCGACCTCATGTGGTCTGTCGACGCTCAGGGCGGAACCCTCAGTATTCGCCGTCTACTCGTAGTTTGGTAGTACCTCCCTTCCCCACTGCTCGGCTGAGCTCGAAGCGTGCTGTGGCCGATCGCATCTCGGTTCCTCTCGTCTGGCCTCTTTGACGTGGCGTATCAATCCGGCTCAGACGATCTCAGTTGTGAATCACGTATACAATGCCACATGCAAGCCAGTCCTGTCTGACCCGCATACGTACCCCTCAAGGCTGAGATATATTGCTACCCTGACGATGACCGACAACATTCCGTTATATACCGCCACCTACAAGCCAATCCTGTTCGCTATTTTCTGTCATTATTTTTATTGAGGGTTTGTTTCTCCTGTAAAATTAATCCAATCATTTTTAACTTTTTGTAAGGAATTTTTTTTCATCCCTCAATCATAATCTTGGAGGCGGGCTTTTGAAATTGAGCCGCCATTTTTCGTTGTTTCCCTCCAGTCACATGAATATTTATTAATTGCACACCCCAGTCTTATTCCTTTATTTTAATTTATCTATTCCTATGAGGTTGTCTTTACAGTACGCTAGCACCTTTTTAAAGGAGCTTAAACCCTGCGAAATTTCTGTATCGATTTTTCCGCCTCCTGATCATGACTCCAGTGGTTGCACTTTGCGGCCAATTTGT